GTGGGGTATTGATGTTGAGCCCTCGGTTTTCAGACATGGAGCGGGCCCTCGATTAAATTTTCGAGCCGGCGAACAGAGCTGGTCGGGATTTCCGAGCCCTTGCTCCCCTGAGGATGCGACGAGGGCTCGGAAATCCCGAACATCTCTGTTCGACGGCTCGAAAATTTTCTCGAGGGCCAGCTACATGTCTGAAATCCAAGGGCTCGAAATCGTTACCCCTCGAAACCTTATATCCAGGATCCGAAGTGTCATTTTCCGAGGGTTTGAGCCCATGGCGAGGGCCTATTTTGGAGTACTCGCTGCACCCCCGAACGACTTTTTTCATCTGCATGGAAATAGACAGTAGATTAAAGTCTCTATTTGTCAGCACCTCTGTTACGTTAGAATTTAGTAAGTATAAAAAATATCCAACGCTGAGAGTCGAGTAGCATTAGGGATGGGACAGTTCTAGTTCAGTTCTTGTTCAACACGAACTGCTTACCATTTCCGTTCAAAAGAACGGGAACTGGTACCAGTTCTTAGGAACTGGAACTGTCCCACCCCTAAGTAGCATGTAGCATGTGTCTTTTTTAGGTGTTAATGACTGTGTTTTAATCGTTAGTAGTCATTATTAAATACTAACTTTTTATTCGATGTTACTATTATCAGTTCGACGAGCTCCATCTATTGACTATATCGGATTGAATTAAATCTAGACTATTAGTGGGTGTTCGCGTAACTCATTTATCAAGGAATCATCGCTGCTTATCGAAAAATTTTCTAAGAAAACATAGATTTTTGGAATAATTTTCGATGCTAATCACAGTCTAACTGAAATGTCTCGACGTTTTGTTCTGAGGAAAGAAGTGATATTTTATCTTGAGCGTACTCAAAATAAATTCAAATTCACTCTACGAGCAGAAGACTTGTCACTGATAAATTTTCTACTCATCAGTGGTATGAAGAAATATATTTTATTTATTTTAAGTTTATAAAAATACCAACAACAGAAAAATGACAAATTTTCACAACAATGAACATGAAGTATGACGTCTTCTCACTTTTTTTGGAAGCAAAACTGCTATAATAGCTTCATCGAATACTGCCTTTATACCAATCTAAAATGGGGAAAAAACTATATGAATGTTGTACTTTGTTATTTGATGCTTACCTCTGTTTTTGATGATACTTCAACATATTTGACTGCATTTATTTGTTTTGCTAATTTTGCGCCTTGTGCTTTTGAGACTGGTAATTGTTTTGATCGTTGTAGTTTGTCGATCGTGGCTTTGTCATCGCGTAAATCAATTTGAGTACCGACGAGAATGTATGGTGTATGAGGGTTATAATGCGATATTTCTGGCACCCACTAAACATCGGGAAAGAGATTATGTCCTTTAACATAAGTATTCTATTATTTACTTTCTCACGAATATTTATAAACGATGAGGGTAGAACAACGCTGAAACAAACAAGAAAGATATCTGTACTAGGATAAGACAATGGACGAAGACGATCATAACTCTCTTGGCCAGCTAAAATTGAAAAAATAAAAATTACAGTATAAGGTGAGTAGTGTACAATTCATACCTGTATCGTAGAGCCCAATAGTGTGTTGTTGACCATCAATCATAACGGTAACCGCATAACTATCGAAGATCTAGATAAACAAGTTGAGACAATGTATTCAGTAGAATATCACCTACATTTAGTAGAATATCACTTACAGTTGGCACATATTCAACGGGAAACGTATTCGTTGTGTAAGTTATCAATAGACAAGTTTTACCTGAAACGAAAATGGGAAAATAAACATGAAGAGAGATAGAATGTCACTGACCAACTGCACCATCGCCCACTACAACACATTTAATGGTTTTTATCGGACTCGTCGCCATTTTTTAAAATAAAATTAAAAATGTAATCATTTAATATAACGAATGAAAAAATAAAATTTTCAACATGAGTAGAATTTTTCGTTTAAAAATCTGTATGTCAATGTTTTATTTTTATTCATAATAAGAAAACAATAAGTTATACATGACAGAAAGAGGACAAAAGAGAAGAAAAATCACGTCTGAAAATGTAAATGTTTAGCTTCAAAAATATGACGATGAATGACGAGTGTAGAGGTATATTTTCATTTAAGTGGCACACTATTCTTCTGTAAAAAATCTTGCTCATTCACTTTCTAATCTCTTACAAAAACAAAGTAAGATAATCTAGATTATATATACAGAGAACCAATCCTGTTTTTTGTCATAACTTTGTAGAGCGCATCAAACTGTATATATTCTGAAGTGCTTTCGATAAGCAGACTTGTAATTGCTGAGAAAAGATTTTTTTATGAATTTCATACGATTTTGATCCTCTATTTAAAATATTTATAAAAAAATTAAAAATTAAAGCTGGGACTCTTATTGTTACGCAATTCAATAGCGCACGTTAAGTGACGTATATCCACAAGTTATAATGAAAACTGAACCAACTGTGTCTGAGAAAATTAACAATTTTCATTCTAGTGCAGTTTGAGCCTTTAAAGTAATTTTTTGAAATTTGTGCACACATTTCAAAAACAACGAAGTATTTTGAGTAAATATTTTCGCTGGTAAAAGTGTTTAAGATAATCCTCTTCAAATCCTAAGCGGAGCACTTTTTCCATTTTAGTGGGAAAATTTTGAAATAAATTACAAATAAAAGATTTTGAGCTTTAAATTTATGTAAATTGCATTTATTTCGAAATTTTCTCACTAAAATGGAAAAAGTGCTTGCTCCGCTTAGGGTATGAAGAAGATTATCCTAAACACTTCTGCCAGCGAAAATTTTTCTTCAAAATGCTTCGTTGTTTTTGAAATGTGAGCATAAGTTCGTGTACGAGGTAAGGAAAAAATCAAATTTCCATGCAAGAGCGACTTCACCTGATATAGGTTTTCACTAGATTTTTGAATTTTTTTCGAAAAACAAACATTGCCAAGAGAATCAGCGTGACCCATGTTTTCATTTATTTCGAGATTACTACACCTAAGGAAATATCGATTCTGGGCCTTCGAGGAAATCCGATGCCGTGCCTAAACCACAAAAGACTAGGAGATCGCTTATTTCCCATTTTGTAGAGGACATTTTAGACTATCATATCTATATGAGAAATACAGGGGTCACTCTGGTAGATTTTGGAACGACGACCTATTCTTTCAAAGACTGATACGGTATACCACTCGCAGGTGATATTTCCTGAGATATTTTTATGTCACCTTGTAGCTAATTATCTCCTCTATGCGGTGCTGAAAACCACAAGTTTTCGAAGTGCAAGTTGTCCAAAAGTTATTAAAGAAATAGCCACCAGCATTCTTTTTTAATAATATATGGGCTTTTAATTCATATAAAGCCCATGTATGAAAAAATCTTGAAAAATCCCCACATCCATGACAAATTAAAAAACAAAATACAGGATTCTGTAGTGACTGAGTAGCTGATTCGAATGATATATTATTCGTTATATTTGAGCAAAAGGGATTGAAGAAAAACATAATGCAAACAACCAGGCTACATTGAACTAGCATCAGAGAAAATATTTCTAAAAAGTCTATGAAATAGAAACTTTTTCTTCTTTTTTACATACAGGATAACTATGAATAATTGTGCATCTAAACATACTTGAACCAAATTTTTGTCGTTATTCCTGAATGACTTATGAAATATCGAAAATCATCCGTTAGACCGAAAATTCTGACCAAAGTTCAACCTTAAAAAATTCATAATTTCACCAATATTCATAGAACCGCCGAAATTTCTTGAAGATACATAGTACTCAACGTACTCTACAAACTGGCATAATTTGACGCCAGGTTTGGGGGGTGGTCGACTTTTTCAAGTCGATCTCTCGCAGAATGCACCAGTTGCAATCCTTTTTTCTCTATAAAGATGGCATTGAATTCGGACTCTCTATGTCGTAGAAGATAGAGCAGCTCGAGTACTACTAATATGCATCAAATTTCCTTTCATACCTGCCCTAATAAAGCACCAGAAGTAGTCGTAAAAGAACTTTTTGTACTGTTACTTACATGACTCATCACCCAATAGTCGCCGGTCAAAGGAACGAGTTTCTTAATTGATCGCAACTGAGAATGTATCGTTGAATAATATTTTAATGAGTTGTTATTAGTAAAATACAAACTATCTCTCAATATAATTCTGACAAAATCCTACGGCTTGTCCAAACGTCACGGCGTTACGTTTTTGACGCACTAAACTTCGGTTATCTCAGAAACTAAAATAGCTAGAAAGTTCGTTCAAACGTCAATCGACGCAGTTCATCATGCTCTATTTATGCTGTGGAAATGAAGCTTTATGGATTTTGCATTGGGCTCTGAGAAGGATTTTATTTTTGCGTCACTGCTTTAAGAAAAAAGACCCTTTTTTCGAGCACTCTTAGGAATTCTTTAATTTCCTGTGAAGTTAATTATGTGAAAAGGAAACTTCTAGAGCAAAATTTATAGAGTAATTGACGGGCTATCCGATGGTAAAAAACAATTTCTTCTAGCGCTTTTTGCTAGGGAGAAAGATGCAAAATAACAACATCACGGCGTTACGCACTTTTGTGTTAAGTATATTTGAGGCACTTAACACGATAGTAAAGTCTTGATTTTCGCAGCTTCCTGTGTTCTTTGTATATTGATCGATCTGCGCAAAAATCCAGTTGCTGTATCAAAATAAGAGCTCAAAAACTGGACAGTAAGCCGGAAACTGTACAACTATGTACAAATTGTACATAGCAAGTAAACTCAAAAAGAAATACGCCATTTACTTATATACGCCATTATTAACTATGCTTTTGTAGAGAATTCAATTCTCTACAAAAGCATAGTTTTAGAAATTTGTTTTAAAAAATGTTTTTGGTTACAACATTAAAAATCCGGTTTCTGAAAAGTTCAAAACCAGGTTTTTTGGATGGAAAATGAACCTTTTTAAAAAACGAGTTTCAAATGGGTTCTTGGAATAAAAAACTACATCTAATCATGTGTTCAAAACTTTCGATATCGAAAACAAATTTTTCAAAAACTTGATCAGCGAAGTGTACCGTTACGTGGACAAGCCGCCTAGGTAAACCTATATAGGAACTCACAGCATTTGATAGGTTTCCTGGTGTAAGGTAATGTGAGTTTCGGATGATAGAATTCTATAACAAGTACACACTATCCTAGAATAGAAAGCATATGGGTTCCTATGATAAGATTACGTAAGATTTCATAAGAACCTAAAACAATTTCCTGTGTTTCGTACAATCCGGTACGATGCTGGGTTACTCATTCAGTTTGCATACAGTGAAACGCTTTAATCGATGTAAATAAAAATTCGTATGTTAACTTATCAAAATCTTATGAAGTCTTCGAAACTAATTATATAAACTGTCCTGTCGAAATCTTACCTGAATCTTATTAGATTCTTATATTCCTTCATATATAAATCTTTTCAATATTTTCATAAGATCTATATTGACGTAAGTTCCGGCTCATAGACCACTTCAATAGTTTGTTCCATATCTATTGATGTCCCATAGCGAGCTTTTTTTTAAAATACCAGCTGTTCAACAAATCACCGTCGGTTAACCGTATCGCCCACCATACCGCACGGTTAACTGACAGCAATTTATTAGACCGCGGCACAGAAAATAACAGTTTTTATACATTCACGGTTTTGTTTTGCATCCGTCAGTATATATAAGAAACAGAAATATTCAAATAACTTCATTTCTTTTTCAGATTAAACTTTTAGATCATATAGACTCATTGAAGTTTGAACTTCGACTCGAGACAAATTTCTCTCAATCCGGAGCCTCTCTGCGCTAATTTCGATTTTGCTACCAGTATAGCAACTGGGGTACTGTACAGTGACCGAGTGGTACTTTTTCGGTTTTAGGACATGCAATGTGTAAGCGAGTCTATAAAAATGCTACAAAAAAGTTTTAAATCATTAAGGATCATGCTGGACACGGTTTTCTCTTAGAAACAAATGTTGTAGTTCATTAGTGCGACGTTCAACGAGAATAACCGCTACTCAGTTAGCACCTCCTATAAAAGGAATTATCTTGTCAACCCCTGAGACTTCAAACATGGAACTTTCAGGAAATGTGTACCTAATAATCATAATTGATTTCACAAAATTTCAGCTTGATCCGTCTAGCGCAAAAAAAGTCCATGTTTACAGCGCTCTCATAATGTTTCAATTGGGCAGCGAACACTCCGAAAAGCGAATTCTTCTCCTGCTAATCCACTTTTAAAACAGCCTTTTAGAAGTCCACACAAGATATCTTGCCGAAAGGGTACATCACCTTATATTTACCAGCTTCCTACTTCCTAAGCCCCCCGCCCCTGTCAGAAACCTATCTCTGAAAGTATAAGTCCGAGTTGGACCAAACTTTTAGGAGATGCTGATCTCGTAAAAGTATGATGACGAAATTTTTTGTTTGACTCCATCTAGCATCGTTTGTGAGATGTCGCCACAACAGGGCTATTCGTAGCTGCAAGATTTCTTAGTAACGAAACGCTGTGGAGAGCTCGAGTTACTCTTAAGTTGATGCAAACACATGTGGCTAGAGGCTAATAGAGCTGGATTTTTGATATTTTACTTCTCAAATTAAGGGTCCCCCTCAGGAAAAAACTTTTTTCCTCCACATTCGATTTCGATGGCGCTTACATGGGTTGATGCTTACTGTCCACCTAACTTATGCTAAACATTTGAGTGCGAAAGCTTGGTGCGTTGCCAAGTTATAAGTGGATTAAGCGCAAAATGAGGCTTTTAACAAAAACGCTAAGACTTTTTTGTTGGAAAGAGCAGAAAGCTGCGGAGTCTCAAGTGAAAACAGACACCTAAATCTAAAGTTTGTCTGTAGCGATTTTTG